AGAGATCATTCCTACCCTTATAAAGTCGTTGACATCACACCTCCTCCAAAGAACCTCGGAATTCGTTGCTTTCCCACTGTATGTTTTTCGCCCCCTTTGTTTCTGTTATCTTCTGGTTTTTTATGCTATTTCCTATCTGGGTTTCTCGTCGCTTGATAAAATAGAGGAAAATGCAATACAGTTGAGAATTATTATTATATGATGTTTTTGTGGTATTTCCTATCTGGGTTTCTTGCCTAATCCTTCCCATAGAGGAAATTTTGGTGTTGATTATATGGGGGCAAGAGGTTCTGACGTTTATCCTGGGGTCTTCACTCCTGTACAGCTCGCTCCCTGACTCTACTTGCTTGCAATCAAATTATAGTCAGAAATCTCCGAGATTATGACCTTATAATGACACTACAAACGAAAAGGCTATGTTAGGTCTTTCATAGAAGAAAAAAGATAAAGAGAACCCAACATGAAGTTTGAATGGATATATATGGAAAGCTAGAGCAAAGGAAAGTTGGAGGTCGCAACATAGATAAGGGTACAAATCCCTGAGATTCGTTTTACCTGCTTGCCAATACAAGAGCTACTTTTAAAGGAAAACGAAGAGGAAGAAAGATCAGCTTTTGTGATTTTTATACGCTGTCCAGGAATCATCTGTTCCACAAATGGGGGCTCCCCATAAGGACATGTCTTTATAACTGAAGACATTACAGCATGTTGGATGAGGCTGGGGAAAAAGTTCAGAGACATTATTGTTTGCAGATCACATTATTGTTTGAAGGGTATTGGTTTTTCAATCACTAAAGACTTGTTGTTCTCTCCTTTGCTGATTTTAGCTACTTGTATTGGGATAAATCCCGTGTTCTGTGTGTCCTCTGAACTGGGAAAAGACTGATGGTTACGGTATGGGGCCAAGTCACGAAACAATGAGCCGTAAATGTCAAATGTACCTTTATGATTTCTAATAGAAGAAACCAAAATGCAGACCCTTCCTTGTGGTCTGTGTACTCTAAAACAGAAACTTAACTCCAGTGATCTGTCTGTCTGTAGTCATCCTGTCGCATGCCAGTGTCATTATTCGACCTCAGGGATAGAATCAGATGGATTTGGTGCTGGTGTTGTCCGTCAAAGTTTTCTTTCTTGTGTTCATTTACGTTGTTCCTTATGTAGCAGAACCTGCAATGCGGAGAGAGCGTGACTATTGAAGGACAGGCATATACCATTTCAGCTGTGACACATCGATACCAGCTTCGGAAGGGAAAATATGAGCCTAGCGAGAAGAGACTTGATGTTTTGTCGACAGGGAGATACATCTTGAACTTGTACTTAGAAAACTTGCTAGAACAATCTTGATAATTTCTTCTGAACAAATTAAATTCAATCTTAAACACGGTAATGCCTCTATCACGTTCTAGTTTCTCAATCATCTGTCTCGTGAACATTCTTGAGCTTCAGTGTCCTCGTCTAGCAGATTTATAGAGTCCTCCTGCCTCCGGTCATCATTGATGAAATCTTGAAGTCTCTGCAATCTGCATGCTTGCTGTTGAGCAAACTCAGTATATATAGATATTGCTCTCTTGCATCAAAATCAACTGTTGACTGGGTGCAAGGCTCAAGTCAAGAATCAAGCTAATTAATTTGGATTAATCAAATATATTATTTTTAAGAAGCTGAATAACACGGTTCAATTAAATATATTATTTTAAAAAAGTCAGAATAATTCCATTTCAATTTTAATTTTAACTAGGTTATGTATTGGTTTGTTGGGCTAACTCTGGATTGATTCTTTTAAGACTTGACCCGGGCTCAAGAACATGCTGAACAGTTTATGCTAATTGAAATTATTTTTTTTTCCTCAAAAAAATATTCCGAGGTTTTGCTGTATGAAATAAAAAATTAGTGGGGAAAGGAGGAAAGGATTCGTTAGTGTGCTACAGCATGATTGATGGCTTAAAAAAGGAGAATGATGCGGTGCATTGCACTCTGAAAATCATTGTTGCAAACATGCTTATGACATTGGCCCCCACAACTATTGAGACCTTGTCTCCGTATCCATCTAATCATTTTTTATACGTGTCTAAATCTAAACCCTTTTTCAATTTTATCTCCTATCATCAACGGTGGAAACTGCTCAATCACATCATCGAGCACCCAGCGCCTCTTAATCTCACCGTTGAGTTATACTTGAGATTGAGTTTTAAAATGTTTTTTATTTGGAGATATATTTAAATAATATTTTTTATTTTTTTAAATTTATTTTTAATGTTAATATATCAAAATAATAAATAAATAATATTTTGGTGTTAAACACGCGGCAGGGACTCGTACGAAGACTACTCAACCACCGGGTGCCCCCGTCTGCCCCGCAATTCCCCAAAAAGACCCTCATGGCTGGTGGTGGGCCCCGCCAGCGTGGCGTTCTGGCCCCACCTGTCTGATTAAAAATTAGTAGGTGTTGGGGTGGGCACCGCGGGTAAAAGACAGTATTATCCTTTAGGAGATTAGTAGTTAGAAAGATGGGCCCTGAAGATTAGTGATTAGGAGGGGGTTGTGCCCTGAAGCGCGGGCGCATTGGATTGCCATGCGCCAGGGGCATGACAGCCGGCCACGTGCTGTTGTAGGGGGTCCACGTGCGCGCATGTGAGGCCTCCCTCTTTAATGACATTGGTGCGGTTACTCAAGCCCATGTGATTAGTGTTAATTAAAAGAAAAGAGGAATTGTTTTACTGTCAGCAATAAATCATTTCACATAGAAATACGAAACCAAAATGTTAATGTTGCCAATAAAAAGTACATAGGAGGGAGTGAAGCCTTTTACCTCAAAATACTCTCGGTGGTGACTGTTCGATAATACGGTGCATTGTTTTATTTATTTTTTTATTTCAGCATATTAAAACTATAAAAATAACATATAACAATTATTATTTGAGTAATTTATGATAATAGCATGTACCAATGGCTACATTTAATGATGAAATTTAGAAAGTGTTAGCTACCTTTACTTGGGATGAGCAAAAAAAAAATTATTATACATATTTATTTTTATTATTATCCTTGATGGAAATTATATTTTGAGAAAACTTTTTTTTAGGGAGTAAAGTGTTTTTTTTAGTCACAAGTAAGTCGAACATTTTAACTTTATCAAAAAAAATTAAGTTAATTGGTGTAGTTTTTAAGAGCTATCTTTTTCTATAAAAAAATCATGTTTTATGATACTAATAAGATAATGTAAAATGCATGATTAAATAAAAAAAAAGTAGAAGTTAAAGTCACATAATAATGGAGATAAATTAATAGCTATTCAACAAATGTATTTGATTAGTACGATAAAAAAAATATATTTGTATTAAATTGAGACAAAAATAAAGTAAAATGAAGCTTATATGCTTAAAAAAATGAAATTACTCTTTGTCATGTCGCCTATTGATCATTACATGGAGTTATGAGTTAGAGACACAAAAACAAGTAAACATGGCTTTCTCCATATACTTTTAAGCTTAATATACATATAAAAATAAATAAATAAAAAATAAATAAAAGGAAAATAAAGGCCAATTAATATACATATAAAAATAAATAAATAAAAGGAAAATAAAGGCCAAGGACAAAAACCAATAATTTTAATCATTAAAAAAGAAAAACAACATGGTAGATTATAGTTAATAGCAATAAGTGATAGTGACACCCCATGCATAATGAGTGATGTGATGTGTCCCTATTTGAGTGAGTTTTTAATTATATTTATGTATATTTTAAAAGTATATTCATTTAAAAAAATATTAAAAAAATATTTTTTAATTATTTTAATATTCAATATAAAAAATATTTATAAAAAACACTATCCACCGTGATATCAAATAAGCTTAATTAGCAAGACCAAGCGTGTGAATGGTGTGTGGTATTTTTTTTAAATATATTAAAATAAGTTTCTTATAGATTTTTTTTATTTTTGATATTAGAATATTAAAGTTATAAAAAAACTAAAAAAACATTTAATTCTTTTTTTTAGTAAAATACGCTTATTTATTTATTTTATCAAAACCGCACTTCCAGTCAACAAGAGGAAGGAGGCCTCCAATTTACAGAAACAAGAACAATAACGTACGTAGATAAAAGAGAGAGTCTTTCTTTCAAGAAAGACTCTAACGAATACGCAAAGCACTTTCTTTCTTTTAGGCTTTGTTTTCATGGCTTTTTAAAGCCTTTAATCCATTCCCTCCCTCTTTCACTCCTCCATTAAACGACGAAAACAATAACAGAAACAGCTCTCGACAACAAAAAAGAAAAACAAATAAAAAAAAGGAAGCAATCATTTATCATTGTAATCTCTCTCTCTCTCTCTCTTTCTTGTTTGGATCGGATCTCAATTCTGAAGTATTCTTCAGTGAAACAGAAAGGCACTCACTCACATACACACACAAATAACAAAGTTAATTTTCTTTCTTTCCCTGTGACCTGTTTTTGGCCTTTTGGGGTCCTTGTGTGTGTGTGTTTCGGTTGTAACAGTCATGCAAGATTGCTGTCTCTGCATTGCCTTCTCTCTTCTTTAATCAGGTGTATACTCTTTCACTTTCTTCTTCTTGACTGTTTTGGTCCCTTAATTCATGTTATGTTATTTTGCTTTTCAAAGAAACAACTTAGCTTTACTTGAACCAGCCAATTTGCTTGTGTTGGTGTCAAAAATTTGGCTTCTTGGTTTTTGCCATCTGGGTTCCTGAACAAATTGCTTAGGACGGTTTTTGACTGAAGAAAACAATGTAAAGTTCTTGTCTTTCTTCTTTTCCCTTTTATTTTCTTAATGGGATTTAGATATCTTACCGCTTACAAGGGTTGATTTTGACATTCATTTGACCGTGGATAACGGTAAATTATCTTCATTCACGGGCCACCTTTATTGTACCTTGTTTTTCCCGTTATATTTGGAGTTTCTTTAATTGTAATTTTCTGCGGAGATTGTGTGAATCAATTTTGTTATTTTCTTGTTTGAATTTGCAATACTATGCTGTTTCTGTCTTGGTAGCACCTGTAATAGCATAGCATAGCATATTTTAGATATAAAAGCAATTTAATTCCAAGATTCTGTCGTTTAATGTTTCTGTCTTGGTAGCACCTGTAATAGCATAGCATAGCATATTTTAGATATAAAAGCAATTTAATTGCAAGATTCTGTCGTTTAATGGCCTGCTTACCATTCATAGCTACATCTCAGAACATTGCTGTTGTCGAGATATTCCATGGAGTCGTTTGTCAATGGGATTGAATCTTCATCACAGACTCAGAATTCAGCATCTAAAATAGGCAGCCACCCGCTTTCCACATCTGTCATGTCTCGCCCTTCTCGGCCTCCAATTCTGAAACAGTCTAGGCATGAAGGGGCTTCTTCCGGTGCATGCTATGCAAGTTCATCCAATCATGGCATCAAGACTGTCCACCATTCAAATGGTTCTGTAATCTATCCGAAGAATTCCTACAAAAAAGCGCATGATGGTATCCGGCATGAAGAACTTCTCAGTACGGCAAAATATTTCTTTAGTCCTCATAAGGGCAAATCTGAGTTTGCAAGCTCCCCTGAACTTGTTAGTCAATCAGCAGAATCTTCTCCTGAGAATAAGGTTTCAACGGCGGAGAACAATTCCTGCATCAAACATCCCATGGATGATCCAAAGAGCTCTAATTCCAGTGGCTCACTTGAATCTGAAAGTATTGTCTCAGGCCCATCCGAAGCAGATGCTGGGCAGCTTAACAATCACGTAGTATCTCAATCAGCTTTAAGCTTCTGTGCAAGTCCTTCAAACAGCATCTATACTGCCACTCTCTATGCAGAGGCCAAACAAAGTTTCACCAACACAGAAGTAAGTGAAGAAGCAAGCACTGTTGGGAAGTCCGTTGAAAGTGGTGAAGTAAGCAACTCCTATGATAACGAGAGCAGGAAAATGAGCCTCTATAGAGGCAGCACTGATAGTGATATTAGTGATGAAAGCAGTTCCAGTAGTTTAAGCAGTGCATTATACAAGCCCCACAAGGCAAATGATATAAGATGGGAAGCAATTCAAGCTGTCAGATCTCATGCGGGAGCATTGGGGTTCAATCACTTTAAATTGTTGAAGAGACTAGGATGTGGAGATATAGGCAGTGTTTATCTATCAGAGTTGAGTGGTACTAGAACTTGTTTTGCAATGAAAGTTATGGATAAAGCAGCTCTAGCTGCACGGAAAAAGCTTTTAAGGGCTCAGACTGAACGAGAGATCCTTCAATCTCTGGATCATCCATTTCTACCCACGCTATATTCACATTTTGAAACAGAAAAGTTCTCTTGCTTGTTAATGGAGTTCTGCCCTGGTGGGGACTTGCATGCACTGAGGCAACGCCAACCTGGGAAGTACTTTCCAGAGCATGCTGCCAGGTTAGGAATTTTGTCTTATTTTTTCATGTTGGTAATCTTTAACCATCTGTAGGTTAGGAATTTTGTCTTATTTTTTCATGCTTTCGTATTTATATGTTGGTAATCTTTAACCATCTGCATGCTTTATAAATACTGAAATTAAATCTATATAGCTTATAACTGTAAGTTTTCGGTGTCTTTGAGGGATCATCGAGAACCCTGTGAAATTTCTAGTTAGGGCTCTTTTTCATGGACTTGACAAAACCTGCATCGAGTAAGCTTGCCATGCTGTGAAATTGAGCAATGATTTTTTATGAACTCGTTTGGTTGTTCGCATGAGTTTGTAATTGCATGCTTTGATTCCCGGGGACATCTTTCGCAGCAATCTGGAATCTGCTTTCCCAGACCTCCATTGTGATGATTTCAATCAAGCATGAATTTTCTTATTTCCTTTTTGTTTTTCCTTTTGATTCTTGCCTTCTGCATCAAGTTTTGTATTTTTGATCTCATGTATAATGTGGCTTAATTTTTTTCTCGTGTCTTCATTGACTAAATTTAGTAAGGATGTTATACACACATATTTTCCAGAAAAAGTTGAGTTTTTGTATCCTGAATTGTGTAGTTCATACTGGTTTGAAAGTGTCCTGGACCAATATTCAAACAAAAAGAAAACAAGGATTTTGCAGGAAATTTCATGAGATATTTTGCGTGTGAAGTTTCTGCAGATGCATTACCCAAATAAGTGATGAGTTACGATACCATTTGTTACAATTCTATTCGTGCTGACAAACTTTGTTGTTGATTATTGTGATGCCATTCTTTGAATGCCATTACTTTATGCAGGTTTTATGTTGCAGAAGTGCTCCTTGCTTTGGAATACTTGCACATGCTTGGGATCATTTACAGAGACCTCAAACCAGAGAATGTTTTGGTGAGGGAAGATGGGCATATAATGCTTTCAGATTTTGATCTCTCTCTGAGATGTGCTGTCTGCCCTACTCTGGTAAAATCATCGAACTCCAGCTCAGAGTCGAAGAATTCAGCGTATTGTGTGCAGCCTGCCTGCATTGAGCCAACTTGTGTAATACAACCAGATTGCATCCAGCCAGCATGTTTTGGACCACGCTTCTTCTCAACCAAGGCCAAGAAAGGTAAAAAGAGCAAGTCTAAGAATGAGATGAATCATCAAGTAAACCCTCTGCCTGAGCTCATTGCCGAACCCACAAATGCTCGTTCAATGTCTTTTGTGGGTACGCATGAGTACTTGGCCCCTGAAATAATTAAAGGTGAGGGCCATGGAAGTGCTGTAGATTGGTGGACATTTGGGATATTTCTCTATGAGCTTTTGTTTGGTAAAACTCCTTTCAAGGGAGCAGGAAATCGAGCTACACTATTTAATGTGGTTGGCCAGCCATTAAGATTTCCAGAATCACCTACTGTGAGCTTTGCAGCTAGGGACTTGATCAGAGGTTTACTCGTGAAGGAGCCGCAGCATCGTCTTGCTTATAGACGGGGAGCCACTGAAATAAAACAGCATCCATTCTTTCAGAGCATCAATTGGGCACTCATTCGTTGTACAAATCCTCCGGAGGTGCCAAAACAAGCAATAATGGAATTTCTAATGAGAGCTGATTCTCCAAAAGCCCCCGCAGATGTGAATGTGCCAGGTGTTGATGTGAAGCCTTCTGGTAATTATTTAGAGATAGATTTCTTCTAGGTTTTGTGATTGGTTTCTCTCATCGGACCAGTTTCCATCACCACATCCTAGTATTTTTCCTCGATGGTTCATTTTCCATTGTAAGGGTATACAAATCCATTGTTCCCTTTTCCATTGTAAGGGGATACAAATCCAGTGTTCCCTTGATGATACATGTAGCTGCCCATTGAGTCCTGGCACGCTAAATAACTCTTGAGGAAATGCAAGTGCAGTTGAATGAGGAATGAAAATGCTTTATCTTTCTCTTCTGTCAATCCTATGCTTCTTTAACTTGGTCACTATGAAGTTGGTTCTATATCCAGAAATATATTCATAGATATCAACTCCATATATATGTTGATTTGTATTATGATTTTTATGCACGGTAGAAATAAGTAATAAAAAGATAAATACATTCAACAATAAATTTATTTTAAAAAATCAATTTTCCAAACAAACAAACAAATGCTTCTGAAAGAGGAAAAAAAAAACAATATATGTGTTTCAAAATATAACTAATAAGCCCATATAAATACATACTGAATTTTATGGTAATTTTGATATATATTCTTAGGTATAAACAATATAAAGATGAATTAAACAAAAAAACTTGTTGCAAAAAATTAATTATCAAATAAATATATTTGATTAAAAAAACAAAATACATATTTAGATATGATGCATGAACTATTTTAGGAAAATATATATTTTCCTTAGCTTATTTTATTTCCTTTTATTTTTATTTTTTTATTATTTATTATGATACTTTTCTAGTTTTTTTATTTAAATATAATATTTTTTCTATTCAATATTATTAAGATTTTCTAGTTTTTTTATATAAAAAGTTGTAATAGTTTTTTAACAAATGAAGATATAAAAATATAAAATTAAGTATTTTAAGATTTTTCTCATATTTTTAATGTTTTTTTGTTTTAACTTATTATAAACTTCATTTATAAGTATACTATTTATATACTCTCATGAATGTTCCTATTTATAAGAAAATATTAGGTATAACACAAACTATTCTTCTCCCTTTCATATGAATATATAATCCATGACAATTATTTACAAATCCGATTATGACTTTTTAGTGCATTGAAAAATTCCTCAGATGACCTGTGATTTAATTAAAATCTTATATTTTTAAATAATATAATATTTGTAAAAAAATTATTTAAATAATAATATTTTAGATTAATTCATGTGAACCCAAATTAATATATTCACTCATGACCTTATTACAAATTGATCAAATTTCATAACTTTATTTATTTTTATTTAATTATATAATGATATAAATTATTTGTATGATATGAATGTATTTTTTTGGTTTAAAATATCTTTAATGATTTAATATTTTAATTTTAAAAATAATTTTTTTATTAGTAATATAGTTCATTGAATAAAAAATAATAACAATAAAAAAAACAAACTTTTACAGAAACTATAATGGTTTGCAATAAAAAGGAAAAAAACTTATATTTGTAATCAAAATCCTAATTTTTCTATTCATGTATTTATTTATTTATTTTGATGAAAATATCTTTTTTTATTTGTAATTAAAACTTATTATGATCGTGAATTAAATTATGTTAACATTTTTTAAAATCATGAATTAATCATTTATAGACATCTATATAAAAAGACATGAGAACAATAAATTAAAAAAATATATAAAAATAACAATAACAAAATTAATTTACCCACACACACACTCATTGTTCTCATTCAATGTTAATGTTCAAATTAATACATAGCTACTTATAAAACATTGATAGTATCATTATAATTTTCTTAAAAATAATGGAATAATTAGGCAAATGTTTAAATATTATTTTAATAAATTAATTTAAAGAGATATTGTATAAAAAAAAATATATTAAAGGATATCCAAGTAAAAAGATCAGGGACACCTATCCTAAGAAAGAAGTCCAAGGGGCCAAAAAGGCATTCACACGTTTTTTTTTTTTTTAAAAAAGAATTTATGGATGACCTAATTTTTTATATCAAGTAGTAGATATGTTGACTGACTGCTGGGCAAATGATGTGTTGTCTTGTAGTTGGTTGGGGTCCAAGCTTTGATTCCCGATACCTCAACATTTCAATTTAATAATTTTTTTTATTTCAAAACATAATAA